GTGCTGGCAGACTCACTGGACAGGTTTCTGTTGAAAGACTTTTGTCTTTAAGTCAGGCTGACTCGAACCAGCGCTCCACTGCAGCTGGCGATGGCAGTGATGGAGTCTTTCTTGTGATCTGGAAAGCTGCTGTGAGCTACGGGGTCGCCTTTACCAGGACCTGCAGCAGGGGAACCATTCATGCACCCAGTTCAGTGAAGCTGCAGAGCATAAGGACTACTGTAAAATTTCTAGGGGTATGACCAGACTTGTTAACAAGTCAAACTCCAGTAAAGTCATTGGATGCTAACCAGGCTACAGTAGCTTCTGTTCGATTGAAACTTTCCACCCTGCATTCTTCGCATCCAAACATCGTCATATCTGGCTTTTAAAAAATAAAAACATATGTTGATGAAAGCTAAACTTCAGAATTAACGAACCACTGGGTGACACTCTGGTAGCTACGCCAGTCCTCTGTTTACAATCAAAGTTGGACGCTTGCAGAGTGCACATTTGCTGCAGAGCTTATTCTTCGGGGGTCAGGGCTTTTCTTCGTGCATAACTGTCACATGTAGACCAGTATGAGAGTGTAAAGCTTTCAGCAGGTATTACATAACCTGAAAAGGTGAATTTACTAAGTAGGGGTAGGTGATATCGTTTCAAAATTTCATTGACATTTTAAGAAAATCTGCAACTTTTGACGTTATAGGGAATAAAATGCTGAATGTTGAGCGTTGAGGTGACTGTTGCTGTGATTTGGCACTATATAAATAAAATTGAATTGAATGTTGCTGCAAGCAGCAGTATTTATAGGTGGAAGTACAAACGAGCTGCTGTCACTGATGACTTGCTACCAGATGCTGCTGCTAGCACAGATGCTAGCAGCAGCATTTTTGTGCAATAGTAGAGCCAGAATAAGTCAAACCTAAGCACAAAAGTAGTCTTGTGTTCCCTGGAAATTTTAATCCATCCATCCATCTTCTTCCGCTTATCCGGAGCTGGATCGTGGCCCAGACCTCCCTCTCCGCGGCCACCTCTGCCAGCTTATCCGGGGGAAACCCAAAATCTGGTGGCTGGGCCTTAGTCCATGGGGCCCGGCCGGGCACAGCCCAAAAAAGGGACATGGGCAGGTGGTGTGCCGGGCACCATCCAGGAGGAAAGGTCCTGGCAGATTGATCCTCGACTACCAAGACTAGCAATTGTGACATTAAATATTTTAAATCAAAGCAAACGCTCAACACTTTAGTTAAACAACAACTAAACTAAGTCCACCTTGTAAGTGGAGCCACACAGTATTTCCCATATAAAACTCAAACATATTTTCTACACTGGATGTTGTATTTTTAGTCAAGCTTTTAAACCAGTTCAGTAACTTCCATCCATTTTCTCTTCCTGTCATATAAAGTGTATCTAGCAAGTGCTCCACTCACTCACGTCATCAGCTGCTAGCATCCTCTCCTTCATAGCCTGGTTGTGCTGGATGGTGACTTTTCCTCACGTGGTGAAGCAAGTTTGTTGTTTCCACCTTTAATATTTTTTGCAAATATTTTGCTGTAAAATTATTCGTACTTTGTAAAGTAATGTGCTTTGTTGGCCATTGTGCGGTTCTCGCCCTCAGACAAACCTGGGTTTGTTTCATTACTGTACACTCTGGGTACCGTAAAAGCATGGCGTTGCTATAGTGACATGATATTTATATATCACATGATGTGCAGTTTGCTTTGTAACCATTTCAAAGGCTTTAACCACATTTGCCAATGAACTAAGCAAGACCTCGTTCTGATTCATCTTCTTTAGCGTTTCCACCAGTGCGCTCCAGGCCTTGAACTGACGCCAGCTCAGCCGTTAAGTAAGCTAATGTGTCTTACTAGTCTGCCTCTGTTTATCATTTTTCAACATCTTAACTATGACAAAGTTTAAAAGAACAGCTGCTCAGTCAATATAAGTTTGCTAATGTTCACAGCAGGTTAATTCAGTCATCGCTGTGTTGGAATGAAGTCTGGATGTGGTGCTCTCCTGCTTTTATAGGGGCAAAAATCATGA